GTCTTCTTAGTCTAGCGTTTTTCTTGGTTCATATCTTAGATCTTATTACTGTTTTTCTTTTACATTTTATACTTCTGTTGGATGTAACTGTACACAATATCGTTCCGCCACATGTGGCGCTGACAAAGAACCTTGACCTTATGAATCCTTTTTGTCTTTCTGCTCTTTGCGTCTTCTCCAAATATTTCAACAAACCGTAAAAGTTCAGCTATTATTGAAGTCACTTTAAACTTCTTTTACTTTTTATGTACCGGTGCATGAATGTTTCCGTTCAGAGCCCAGAGACGACTTCTGTTGTGAATTGGTGCTTTATAAATAAACTGAACTGAATTTAGCTTTTAACTATAAAGTTGTTGTTTTTTTACATTTTTATTATTTTTGTTATTTAACTGAGTTAAGAGGTGTGGGGCTCACCAGGTTTGTCCGGAGTGTGACTGAAGTGTTGGGAGGTGAAAGTCTTCCCGTCTGGGTACTTGGGGTGGGGGGGCAGCCTGGAGTCCAAGTACGTGCAGAACACATGCATGAGGATCTGAAAGAAGACGAGCGGGACCCTAAAGATGGCGTTCACTGCTCAGATTTACACCAACACAATCTAATGATACAAATGTTGATTCAAGTCAGTAAACCTGTAAACGTTGAACAACAGAAAGAGTCAGGTGTAAAATAAAAACTGCATCAACTTGTAAAAAGCTTATTTTTCAGCCTTCAGATCTAGAAGAACAAGAATTCGAGCTCAGGTTTGCTTGTTTTACACTCGTGTATACGTCTGAGTTCGTGTTGACGTGCGTGGACTCACTGCACAGTCTGTTGGGAGGTCCGTATCCCACTTCCTGTTCTTCACATCGCCGCCGCCGTTCCAGCGGAAGGAGCTCATGCAGCCGCTGTGAGCAAGCTCTGACGCATGAAGGAAGTTCGTTTCACTTTTAGTATAAAATCTTAAAGCAAATCTCCAGGAGCGTGGGTTTTTCTATCCCATTAGATGCACATGTAAAAACTTAATCAATGCATCGTTCCTTTAAACTTTTCATGAGCGAGTACTGCTGAACACACCTTTGATCCGGTCCACTAGGTACTCCTGATTAGACGTGACGTCCAAGTACTGGACTATGGAGTTCATAGTGGGGATGGATGAGGCTTTCATCACCGCTGCTTGTCTCAGGCTGCTTATGCTGGCCTCTGGTGGAGCAGAGAGCGAGTCGCATCGTCACCTCTGGACTTGTTCACTCACAATTCAACCAAGAATCTGTGGCTGGATTACCTCCGATCTGGAGCTCCGGACATCCCATCCTCCTGAGCTGACTGTTGACGGAATCGATTTCTTTGACCAGAGGGACCAAGATGGTGTCGCTGATCCACTGCAGACACAAACGTTTCATCGCTCTAATGATGCATGCGCAGTTCAGAAAAGCCCCTGTGAATTTTATTGAACATGCCCACGGCCCAGGGAACGGCAGGATTGCTCACATTTCTCAGCTTGGCTGTCCAGCTATCAATACGGTTCATCACGACACGACTGCTTGTGATTCTGGCCCACACCTAGTTTTAAGAAAATAACTTGTTATTTTATCAGTTCGGTATCAAGTCAGCACACAAACGGAGTAAGAGACCTCTTCAGCAGCTTGTTTGGACCCCACGTCCGTCTCATCCTTGTGGGCAGACGGCGCCTGAGAGCGACACGCTGGTTGGTAGAGGAACTTCCTCAAACTCTGGGCGTAATCTCCAACCGAACGGTTATAGTTCCAAAACGTTGGACTGTGGTTCGGAGACACGGACTCTGGACTTCCTGCGGATGAGACGAAGCAGTTGCTATGTCCAAACAATACCCTAAACTCCAATTAACAACAAAAGATTAAAAGTCACAGAGTGGAGGAGGGTTCCATCATTCACATTTCAAAATCCACAACTCTAATTTCCACATTTCTTGATGAACAGCCGGACATTTTTGAAACTCACATAAAAACATTTACTGTATACTTACTGTTGAAGAAAAAGAAATGAAAAAAATGTGTTTTTGTTGTCATTTTATGATCTTTAAGTGTTTTTCAACACAACATGAAGTTCATTTTGTGAAACTATTTTCTGATCAGTGGTAAAATACACAGCATTTAAGAGTTTGGGTAACTAGTGGCTCAAAAGAAATAATTAATTTGGCAACTCTTGCACAGTACTCCATATTTTAAATACTAAAATTGAACATTAGTTTGCGCCATTTAGTTAGAAAATTTTCAGATTTTTCTTTTTAGAAACAGAACAGAGTCTGAAAACAAACATTTCCCTGATTTTTAACGTGAAAATTACTAATATTCCAGATTTTTCAAAAAGGTGTGCAAGAAATGCAGTTTGTAAAATGCGCAAATGTTTTTGGAACCGTCTCATTGAGTAATCTGAGAAACTAAGAGCCCCGTTGCTTCAGCAGATTTCCATCAGGCTGCCCACCCAGCTGGCTGCGGTGACTTTTCTCCTCCTCTGAGCGCAGGAACCTCTCCAGACTCTTCAGGTCCTCCATGTAGTCCTCTTTGCTTCCAGGCGAGTTAAAAACAGAGGGAGACGTGCGATACCGAGACCTCAGGCTAGAACCTTCTGCTGGTCCGATGCTGTTCGGGTATGGTGAAGATCCTGAAGACTGACTGTAGTTTAATACCTGGAACATTTTAGAACCAACGTCAACTTTTGGTTCGTTTTTAAATCTGCTGCTTTCAGTGTTGAGAAAAAAAACAGGCACCTTTCCAAAAGGCACTGAGGGGGAGAAAGACACCCCTGCACTGCTCGTTGGGGACGGATTGCTGAGAGTGGGGCTGTAACTTGGTGCACAGCTGGGGGAGAACTTGGGGCTGGTCGAGGCTGGCCGGGAGGGGCTGAAGCTCAGCACGCACTGGCCCTGCAGAGGAGATGACTGGGCTGGAGCTGGAGTTTCCTTCTTTTCTGGCTTTTGGGGAGGAGAGGCCTGGATACCTGCAAGGGGAAAACCAGCAATATGTTATCATGCGCTCATGCAAGAGTAAAAGTAACTAATATTAAAAGTGCTGATTTGAATATATTAATCAAAGCAGACTCACTTGTGTTCCTTAAACCCAGAAGGTGACGCTGCTCGGGGGAGACAGCGATTGTGGATGGCGCCATCGTGTATTTGAAATATTTCCAAAAGTCAAAAAGAGCATTGAGGCTAAAAAGTGAGGCGAGCACCAATTCTGAAGGGAAAACCAAGACTACAATGAAACGGAGAGTAAAACTAAGCTTTCAGAAAACATTTTAAGCATTTATTTCTATCCTCCTCTGTCAACGCGATAGCTCACTTAGCTCAGACTGTGCAAAAATAAACAATTTGAGTCGGATTAATTAAGTTTGAGCTGTTAAATGTTTTCAATGAACCTCTAGTGACTCCAAAACAACAACAAACATCCTTGAGGGTGTAGTGGAACCTCACCTATGTACCAAATGGGCCAGTAGGTGATGTTGTAGTATCGGCTCAGCAGCTTCCCTGACCTTAAAGAGAAGAAACAAAAGACCCAGAGACATAAAAGTCGTGCACAAGAGGCTGAAGCAAAACATCCACACAAAGCCTTTACTGTACTTACATTTCTGTATAAATCATGCCAGCTAAAGAAACGTTTAGAACAGCCCAGGCCAGGATGATCTGCCGAGCCTGCTCCTCCCTCCTCATCCTCAGTGCCCTGTCAATCATGCTGGGCATCCCTTCCTTCGGTGGAGTCAACATTTTGCTCACACACCTATCATATATAGCGAGGACAAAACACACTTAATAAACTTTTAAAAATCAAGATTTCTACACGAAAAGTGAGCTTACTTGTTACTATTCTTTAATTCAACCTGAAATATTACTGGGCAGTCATATAATTATGCATAGTGCACGTCTTTGTTGCAGTTTTTGTGGTTAGCTGAGAAGCTAACGACGGTTAGCTAAAGTTAGCAAGCTCACATGCAAAACAATTAAACGGTTTCAATTTCCGGTCAGCCTGCAAACCAACTCCCGCAAATTATTTAAACAAACAAACATGGTTTACACATGAATAAAACGAGAATAAAAGTTTTAAAGGCAATACCACGTTAAAGTGAACGTCAATCGCGGCGCTGCATGTTTTGTATTTCCACCCGGAAGTAAAACATTCCACTTCCGGTGTCACCACGCCAGCTTTTTACTGGCCGCTTTCCTTCCATTTTCTGCAAAGGAATGCAGCTAAAAGTGGACACTTAACGTGGAAAAGTCTCATTGCTGAAGTTGAAGATGCCATTTCTGACCCTTTACACAAAGAAAGATCCAGACAGAACACCAGGAAACGCAGAACTTACTATTTTGTGGCAAACTTTCACAAATACAGGAAGCAGTGAATGAAACGAAAGATTTACAAGTTATTACATTAGAAGTTTGAAAAGCTCCCAGACAAAAAAGAGAGCGGTGTATAAAAAGAAGTACACCTGCGAAATTAAAGAGTACAGGAAAAAGATGCAAGATTTTGAAAAGCAAAACAAGATGTATGATATTCTGAAGCGACTGGTGAACAAGATGGTCTGCCTACCAAGCCCTTTTACAACAGCTGCAACATATTCTGTATGGACTATAAATCCTCTGAGGGGCCATCAAGAGTTGGGGCAATGGGTTTATCGTGGGAGAAACTTGAGTAAATCAGAAAGGGCTTAATAGTAGAGTAGAAAAGCATCAAAATCCTTTAGTTGTTTAAAAATAAAACATCTGGACACGAAGCGATGAGACGGAGGGCCCAACATGTCGTCGTCTCAGGTTCATATTTTTGTGATGAACACATTAAACTCTCAAGGACAAACCCCCAAAGCTAAGAGCACGTCGTGGAGATCTATTATTCTTTCTATAAAGGAAAGTTATAAAAGTTAAATACATTCAAGGCTTCATGAAATCCTCTGCAGAGCTGCAGAAGTGGCTGAAGTATCTAAAGCTGTGTCAAATGACGCAGTGCGACAAAAAAGAACAACAACCAACCTTGGACTCAGAAGGTGAATCTTCATCAGTGATGAAGAGGACACTTTGTATTACTATGAGGAGGAAGAGGACATCTAAGACAAACGATGTTCATCTGCTTATGCTGGACTGAACTCTTGAGTTCAAGATGAAGAAATGGTACAAATGGTTATGACTTCAGATGATCTGGTTTTATCTGCAGTCCTCCATGTTTACCTGTGCAGAACTGGACTACCTTCAGCAAAGCAATACAAAAACAAGCTTCATCAATTTTGTCTCGTATCGTGGACATCTCTTCAGCTTTAGAGACCTGGATTATAATCCAGACACCCTGCTGACAACATGGCAGCTTTCTACAAGGACTGATTTAATTTGCTTGCACTGTCTTTAGGCATCAGTTACTGTTTGTTTCACTGAGAGATCTGCAAATAGGTTTTCTCGTGTAATGCTCGGTTTATGTCTTCATTGGCTGTTCTGTTCTGCACACCCAGTTCATTAGACTGAAATGAAGGTCAGCGCCGTTGTGCCAACTTTCTGGAATAAAATAAAGCTCAGTGCTGATCTAAAAGGATTGGGACGCCAACTAAGAGGCAAAGTGTAGCTATATTTACTAAATTTAAGCTGCAAGATTAAAAAAAAAAAGGCTATCTTAAAGCTAAACAAAGCAAGAGTAAAGCTAAAAGTACTCAAATGTAGGTTAAATGTTACACTGTTAGCCAGAAGCTAAAATAAAAACAGGTCAACTTAAAACCCAAAAGACAGTGCTAAAAGTATCAAAAGGCCATTTAGAAGCTAAAAGTAACAAGATGCAAGTTAAAAGTAGCTAAAGCGAAAAGTTCAAGCTGAAGAGGAGAAACGGACAGATGGGATGGAGGAATTTGCTCTCCACTCCGACCCAGATGCTGAACTCGCTAAAACATGTGGTTGATGTTTCACTTCCAATATCCAAACGTGATGAAATCTGAGTTTACTGTGTATGTTTTATTTTAACGTGTTACACATCTAACAACATAAAAATTTAGATTGTGCTTATTGTTCACCTCATTTAAGGCAACACGTTCTCCCACCAGAAAAAGCATTGTTCACCCCCCCACCCCCAGTCACTGCCCGGCTGATTGAAAAGGAACGCACCCCATGTATGCATTCCAGGGGGAAATTATAAACATAACTCTTATTTAAACTATAATTTGGTCCACAACTTTGTTGTAGGGACAATTCAGAAGTGGAAGCATTTTATTAGACTAAACCAAGATAACACACAGTCTACTGGGGTCTTAAATTACAGGAGTACGCTAGCAGCTTACAGCTGCTGTGTTGTACAGACAACTGGTAATTTTCCTATGAATATATTGTACTTACCAGTAAGTATAGTTTTGAGTTATCCATACAAAACAGCAATACCTAGTACCTCTGCACTTAAATGAGCAGATGATTATTTTTTTTAAAAAGTCAGTACGTAAATAAAACATTTAGGTGCCATGCTGTTGTGGCTGTGTATGGTTCTTCCACATGCTACTAAAGTCCATATTTATTAAATGAAATATTTGCCAAAATTTATATTTTTTTCATCCGATTCAATAAACGACAACACAAACAAATATGTTGTTTGGCAGGGGAGACTCGGCATGTTCTTCATACATTTTTCCAAACAAATGTGACAGTTTCAGGAAAATGGACTTTCCAGTGCAAAGCAGAATCGTTACAACGAACAAGCTGCCAAATAGAGCTTTTCTTACATTCTGTTAAGTTTATTTTACTTTTATTATGAAGGCACAAACAGCTCCAGCTGACTGACTTAACATTTTAAAAAGAACAGTTTTGGGTGATTCATTAGAACCCTTTACTTCAAAAGTTTTTTTTTTACCTAAATTTATTTCAGTCTGATAAGCATTTGCTAAAAGCTCTACGATGATGACGGTTTGTTTCTTGTTTAAAAAGTGACGCAGAAAACAAGACGGTTGCAGAACCAAAGAGAACCACCAACAAATGTTATCAAAAGTCTTGTATTTACAATCATACACAGATCAGACATGAACAAAACGGTCTGTGAACACAATGTACGCATAAAAAACAACACGCGCGGCTGTTTACATCAGTTTTTTAAATGATTCAACAAACAGGAAAGATTGCCGTTTTATCAACACTTAGTTAAGTTATACAATGTATTCATTTAAATGCATTTAACGTAAATATATAAAAAAAAACAAAGTCATGATTTTTAATCAGGGAGTAAAAGAAATGGCATTTAAACAGAATCATATTTATTTTAGTTTGCATTAAAACAAACGCACATCACATAACCGTCACTAACTGAATAAAAACTTGTACAATCGTTTAAAAAGAGTTCTCTAAATCAAAAGATTTTAGCAGCACCAGATTTATGAGAAAAAATTCATTTTTAATAACTCAAACAAATTGGAGTTTTTATAAATGTTTTGTTAAAGCGGATGTAAGAGGTAAATATTTTTAAAGTAAATAAATAGAGGCACAGCGTCATCTCTGAGAAGGTGATAGGGACTTATCTGAGTTATAATCAACATCTAAACCACAGTCTTCATCGTTGGCTGCATCTATAAGTCTTTCCTCACCTCTTCCTCCCTCTCTGCTTTCCTCCCCCTCCTCCTCCTCCTCCTCTTCATCCTCGTCTTCCTCCTCCTCGACGTTCTGCTCTTTACGACTCGTTCTCTTCGTCTTCGGCCCCTTGCAGATCTTGAGGTGGCGCGTGAGGTGGTACTTGGTGAGGAAAGCTTTGTGGCACTTCTCACAGACGAAGTCTCGTTTGCCCTCGTGGGAGTTCATGTGTTTCTTCAGGTGGTTGGTTTTCAGGAAGCGTTTGTTGCACTTCGGGCACTGAATCCGACTCTCGCTGTCAGAGCAGAGAAAAAGAATTAAAATTATCTGAGAAAAATCCGTGTGAGCGCTGAAGGACAACTGTTAAAGATAGGAGAAGCAGAACAATGGCTAAAGGGAGACAAACGCTAACTAAAAGCAGAACATTTTAGCCAAGTGTAGCAAAGGGGTCGTAAAAAGCTAAAGAAGAACAAGGGCAACTGCGGCACAAGCTAAATATAGCAAAATGCTAACCCAAAGAAGCAATAGGTTAGCTACAAGGAGTAAAATGCAAGCTATAAACTGCAATGGTTTAGCTAAATGCTGCAAAGTGCCGGCCAAAAGTAGCAAAAGGCTAACCTAAAGAAGCAAAATGCTACCTAAAAGCACAAAATTGTAGCTAAATGTAGCAAAGGGCTGGCCAAAAGTAGCAATAGGTTGGCTCAATAGGACTCATTTACAAGAGAGACCTGATAAAAGTAGCAGAAGTCTAACCTAAAGAAGCTAAAGGCTAGCAACAAGGAGAAACATGCTAGATTAAAACTGCCACGGTTTAGCTAAATGTTGCAAAGGGCTGGCCAAAAGAAGCAAAAGTCTAACTGGAATCTAAAAAGAGTAAAACGCTAATTAAAAGCTACAACTAGCTAAAAGTAGCAAAAGACTTGTTGTAACTTGCAAAAAGCTAACTAAAATTAGCAATAAGTAGCTTAAAGTAACAAAAAGAAGCCAAAACCAGCTCAAAGATGCTTAAAGCTAGCTTAAAGTGGCAAAAAAAAGTTAGCTAAATGTAGTAAAAAGCAGCTAAAACCTGTAAGCAACAAAGGAAGACAAAAACAGAACAAGTTTGCTGAAGCAGGTTTCAAAGAGAACAAAGTTAAAAAAAAATAATAATAATAAATAAACCTCATTGTGTTTCTGTGGGAACATCTTTGAAAATCAAGTTCAATATTTTCAAAAGTATAAAAGTTGCAAAAAATCAAAAGTCATAGCACCATTTTGTGAATGAGCTGATACATGTGCTAAAACAGCACAATACATAAAACGTAGACTGCAAAACAAGCACAAACAGGACGACCAACGTTCATTAGCATTCACGCTAAAGCTAAGCACATTTAAAGGCTCCCACATATTCGGGCGTACTGTGTGTACTCCGTGAGCCGCGTGGACACTGCGAGTACTGTCCACAGACGGTTGAGACTTCATACTCGAGCATACACCCTGATGGGCTGCAGCACAGCTCCGCAGGCAAGGGGCGTTGACCTTTGAAACAAATTGAGGTTGCTGATTGGTTATTTGCCGACATGCCTAATGGATTGATTGACAGGTTGCAAAAAAAAAAAAAGAGAGAGCTACCGGCGGCCCTGGGTAGAGGCAGCTGGCAGCCCAGGAGCAGCGGTGTTCTGTGTTTATATGGTGTTAATAAAAAGTTCTAAAAAATTAAAACAGGGAGCACTGGCCCTGCAGGAAATCTCCAGACCCTCCCGCAGCCACGCTGGACCCGATTTTATTTCTCTCGTGACAAATTCCTTCATTTCTCACAATTTCAGCCATGGCGTCAAATGACAAGGAGGAAGAGATCACTTGCCTCTTGGCACAAAACTAAAGAGGCCATTAAACCAGACCACGGATGAAGAAAGGGAATTTAATACAGTGGTGTCGCATACATAACAGTCCGTCGCCTTTCAGTTTATTGTGCGACACAGTACACGTATGTAAAAATTTATCTTTGCGCGGACGTGGCTTGAGGGCGTCCGCTTCGAGTCTGCGTCGAGCCTAATCTGGTCCGCGTGGACCCCTGCAGAGTGAAGTACGCCTGAGTGTGTGAGCCTTTACTCAGCAG